TGTTTTTTGGCGTAGAATCCTTTTGTTTTACTGCTCTGAAATTACCTTGGATGCCTTTAAAATATATCAACAATAATGACATCAGTCAAGTTGTACTACTTGACAAAATCACAACATTGACATCTTTTAGTGTAATATTCTAGTTACCATTTCTGTCCATGTACATTAATTTTGTAGACTATTCAGTCGGTGGAATTACCATGTTTCACATTCACTAGTCCCTACAAATCCATACAACTATGTAGGAAAGGGAAATAATATATACACTGGTCATTAATATATATATCATAATTTTCCTTCCTCCCATTACTTGAGCCTACGGCTGGGACTATAGTGTCAGTAGCGAGTTCTGTTATGCACAAGTTTCAAGCAGGCACTTGCAAATACATTGTATAGTTCCAGCTTTGCAGAAATTCTGTCCCCACTCGCACCAGAATTTGATACCACCATCACCGTTTTTGAACAACTCACCCATGTTAACCTGTTACTACACCCGGAATAGACAACACTCACAAAAGATTATAGTCTGGTTACTCTGGTATGGTAGACCCTAGGTACAGTGTTTTAGCCAGCATAACTTTTTCTTCCTTCATCTCTATTCTACTTGACGTAACATCATGTTGACGCTATCTCCTGCATTTTGAGGGGAAAATTTTGCTTGCAGACTAAGTAAATGACATCTCTTTTTCTTTACATGCTGATTTTTGTCCGTCAAAGATTTGGCAAAATTTTTGTCCGTCATGATGACAAAATTCCATCAAATGACGGAAACTTAGTCAAGACAGACACTGGCTAGAACACTGTATAGGTATAATGGGCGTCGCAGCAATGTTTTAATGTCATTATTTCTAGACTGCTAGAAGCTGAATGAATGTAGTAATATTATACACAATGATGAAAAGGTTTTGATAGATGGAGAAGAAATTTTTCAAACGTTTTGTGTGTTCTGTTGTGATACTTATTGTATCATATTTCAATAATTATTATGAAATCAAGGGTCCCACACATTTTGGTTGCAGTACATGTACAGTCACTCAGGAAACACTGTTTAGTGGAAAGGGGTCTAAATCGTCTGTCTGGGTGTTTCTGAGACAGGCAACAGCTGAAATGATGCTTACACAAATGCAACCCCTACAAGACATCAGTGTTTACTGAGAACCCTACTGAATCCCAAGCCTACCACTAGACTGAAAAGAGTCAAGAGAAGTGGACAAGTATCTGTACGTGACAAGATATCAGCACGTCAAAACATACTGATATCTAGACGTACTGCGTCTGTGTGAAACCTAGTTTTTGTTGGAAGTTTGGTCAACGTTGCATCAGAATTTTGCCTGTTTGCAGTTTTTTCGAACACAAGATTTGAAAGTTTTTGAGATGTCATCCGTGAATGGACATTGCAGGTTTTGCCCCAAGGGCACAATTACATTCTGCCCTACATGCCTTACAGAAATATGTACTTTATGGTAATTCTACCGAATACATCAATATATTTTTATATACATCAAAATCTTATTTCATGGCTAAACCAAGGCTCAATGATGCAAATTTCTATATGCTTTTCATTATATGTCAAGATGCTATAACCCCCGAAATGAAAGTGGTGAATTCCAAAGGAAACATAAGACAAATGGAGGTGACTGGAAGTAACCACTGTCTACAAGGGGTGAAAGGTAGAGATTGTTTATTGTAAGTTTAGCATGTTTGGTGCAGGTGGTGTTCAGATGAGGTACAAATCTGGGCTGGGAGACGGACCGTACCACATCAGGACCCCTGGGGGAGGAAGGGTCTGACCAGGTACAGTTTCTCCTCGCCACTCTGGCTGTTAAAGATCGGCGCCCGCTTGTAGTGCTCGATCAGCTCGTCCATGGTCATGAACGTCCGCTGTCCGATCTTCAGCCCGCCGCTGTCGATCTTCTGCACGCGGAAGTGTTTGTTTCTGTTGGGCGCCTTCAGAGAAATGGAATAGTCTCCCTCCTATAGGACGGTCAAACAACAGACATTAGCAGTGTTTCATTATAAGGATAGCAACACACATCTTATCAGTGGCAGATGGCTCTTGGGCTACAGAAAAACAGTGATAAAGATTTGCACCCCCTAGCAGCTATCAAAGGGAACTGCAGGGTTTTTGGTAGAGACTTCGGAAGAGGATTACCCCAGAAAGTATTTAACACATTTTTTTACTGAAGGGTCTATTAGTGTTTCATGATATGGCAGGAGAAGAACATGTTTGCGCCACCTAGCAGCTATTTTGAGGAACTATTTTGAGCCTTTTTGTTAGAGACTTTAGTAGTACATGTAACTAAAGAAAGCATGGATAGATTTTGGGCATGTAGATTCTATATTCAATTTCGTGCTTATTAATTTGCAAGAAAACAGCACTTGCAATGTGTGATTGCACTTTTAAGTACTATTAAAATATAGTAATAAGAACAATCTTGTGATAAATATCTCATAATCTAACCAGAAAGGTAACATTTGCAAAGCAAATGCATAATGTTTACCTTCGCAGATGGTCTGCTCTGTTAATTCTTACTCATTCAAACACATTCATACATATGGTCAGACAGGAGTCTAAATCCCTCCTGCTATAAAATTACAACATGATATAACCCAAGACCAGTTACCATGGTGAGAGACAGTCTGGTTCAGTTCATTGACCTTATTGGTTTAGAGAAGAAGAGGAAACAGAGCAGAAAACAATTTGTTTTCCTTTGGTAACATATAGGTAACATAAACTCACACGTAGAGATGATTTTGTCTATATGCAGACTAAACAAATAAGGTCAGGTTGTATTACTAATGCAAGAAGAGGAAATTGTGGCCACTACATGTTTTGAACTACATATAAACATTTGATGCACAGGAAGTCTTCACAGACAATGGAAAGTATTTTGCAGTTGTTTGTTTACTCACGTTGGACTCGCTGTCTCGCACCAGGAAATCTCCGTCCCCGCCGTGCTGGTTCAGCCACTGGTCGGCCTGGGTGCGTGTTATTTTCCCGTAGTACCAGTCTTTGTCGGGGAATGGCGGGTGGCGTGCTGGCGACGGCACGGCGGAATTCAGAGAAGTCGTGGAGAGCTGGGTGGTAATCCCCGTTACTGCGTCAAAGCTAACCGGCTGTGCGCCGGGGTCCACCTGTACGTAGTTTTTCGGTACCAGTCCGGTCTCGCCCTGCTGGTTTCGCGCTTTCCACCACTCGGGGTCGTCCTCCGGCTTCTCGATAATGTCCAAGAACTCCCCCTTTTCGAAGTTTAGTTCCTCCTCGTTTCGCGACGTGAAGGGATACAAAGTTCTGACTACACAGATAACGGGGCCGGCGCCGTTCGTAACTGCCGCGTTCGGCCCGCCTTTCACAGTCCCCGTCGACTTCACCCCGTCCCCACTGTCCTCCGCGTCTTCCACCACATAGTTGGACGGGAACCAACCGACCGTCCCATTATACTCGCCGCGCCACCACCCGTCGCTCGACTTTTCCATGACCGTAACTTTCCCCCCCTTCTCCAGCGAAATCTCGTCATCCCTCGCGGCCGTGTAGTTGAACTTAACCGTGGCCATGATGTTGAGTTGATGCGACTCGGACGGAGAATCGCGGCCTCTCACCGACGGTTCCGCCTCCTGTTTCCCCGATCTATCACTCGGGTTACGCTGCACCTTGTTCTTTATCCCAAATATACCCTTGATGGATTTCCCCTTTTTACTGTTCTCCCGTTTGACGTAGTTCGACGGCACGTAGCCGACCTGGTTCTTGGCGTTCTGGACGCGCCACCACGAGCGGGTGTCGTCCAATAGCGTGAGGCGCTCATTCTTCTTGATGTCCAGCTCCTGGTCCTGCTGTGCCTCGTAGTTGTACTTGGCTACGACAACCTCCTCTTTCTCCGTCATCATGGAGTACAACTCCTGCACAGGGCAAATAAAAACAGTCAGGGTTTAGACAGATATTTCATTTCATTAGACATCCAGGTATGAGATAAACAAGAAAACAGTTACTCAAGCAACTGACTATGGATAGAGTTTGAAAACTCTCAAAAGTTTCAAGTAGCAATATACTTTGATAAGTTTTCGTCGGTGACTGACAAAATGTAGTAAATGACCAAAGTTGAATGGCTGACAGTTCTCAAAATCAATCCAGTTGCATGAGTAACAGTTTTCTTGTGTATCATGCATTAAAAAAAACTTTCAGACTTCAAGGAAGTTCTTGGGTTTTCATGACCTTGAACTGTTGTAGTTCACCCCATTTCCTATGTCCTTCAGACCTGTCATTCTGCCTGTCAATCTTCTCGCACCCACGTGCTGTCAACCTACTCTGTCCAGACAGATACCTCAGGTCAGAATTTCATAAAGCCACAAATATTTCTCAAAGTAACAGTGACACCCTGAGGGGCACCTCATAGCAGGATGACCTGAACTGAACTGGTTTATAAAACAGTGATCAGCTGTTAGAGTTACAGGCACAGTAAAGTTGTGTATTGAACTCCCCAAAGAGAGCCCATGGAAAAGAAAAAGACTTTTATCCTGGATGGAAATATGTATGTGTGGGTGGGGGGTGGCCATGGCTTTATCCCTCGCAAAATGTCAAAGCTACAACTGAGGGATCTGTACTGTATTGTGTTCTTTCCTCACAATCATTCATATTTATCAGAGAGGAAACATGTAGGCCTGGGTATTTCCTGTCCTGGTTTAGGTTCTGCTGTTTGGAGCTGCAAGGATCACGTTTCCAAGAAACATTACATTTGGTAAAGCCGCTTTTTAAAGGTTAGAAGAGGAAAAAACTCAAGATCTGTCTTGTGTATCTACTGCTATTCCTCATTCTTCAGACAAGGGTGGCAAATCATTCGAGAAAACATCTGTAGAATTATACAATACAGACTGATCTGGCAGCATCTAGAAATCTTGATTGGAGTATTAAATTTTGTTGACAGAGACTCCAATCAGGATGCCGTTAATGTCTTTGGGTGGTTTCCCATTTACAAATCCTAAATTTCAAGTCAATCCATGGATCTAATTAGTAATAACTAAATAAAGTGACATGTTTAAATTAGTTAGACCGTATAATTAAAAGGTGAATCATACTTGTAGCAGACCACCAGTCCTACATGTACTACAAAAAACAAAAGCTGACACAAACAAACGCAAATAATTATAGATGGCAGCCAAACGACAGGAAACAACTTCAAAGTTTCCCACCAAGACTAGACCCGACGATGACTCAAGCACGTAAATAATCACCTCAACACTCGGGAGGCTGGAGACAATACCAGGGGTGCTTGAGACTGTTTCTCAAGACACAAGGAGGGGGACTTTCTTGGTCATAACAGGAAGACGAGTCCCCCTGCACCAGGGCAGCTCAGGAAGGAGAGGGGAGGGTGGGATGACACAGGACTGGACCAGAACCAAACAGGAAAACTAAAGGTCATCTCAGGAGACATTCTGGAAATCACTCTATTTTTGTAGAGACTTAATTTTGATGAAAAAGGAAGGGAGATGTTTAAAGTTTGCAACTGAAACAATTCTGTAATACTAATACAGTAGTATCACTAGTAGTAGAAATTGGGATCCAGGGTAGAAATTTATCCATAGATTGCAAAATCTGTGCTGTAAAATGAGGAAAACATTGCCATCAGGCATTGTCAAGTGTTGGCCTCTGGCCACAGTTTTGCCCATACAACATTGCAAGGTTGCCAACATGCAATTTTGTATATGCCATAGGGTCTGGAACTGAACCTAAACCTCTACTCTTCAATCCGGACCTGAACCTGAATGTGGGTTTAGGTACACATCACTGGTGTGAGGTAGAACACGCGATATCAGAGAACAGAAAAACCAGGGGATTGACCTTCTGTTCATAAGTCCGTACTCACTTCCCTAATTATGATGGTTATGTTAATCACCTGCTATGATTAGTATGAATGTACAGTACAACCATCACAATACTCCTTCTGAGGTCACTGACCTCCTTCATGGAGTAACAAAGTTTCTGAAGACATGACTTTTCTCCACAGGTGGCTCTTAGTCTTAGAAGGACATGAGGTAGAAGCTAGAACACAACATATCAGAGAAGAGGAAAAACAAAGGACTGAGCTGCTGTTCATGAGTCTGTAGTTACTTCACCTGCAAACTTAGGGACACAACCGACCACAATACTCCTTCTGAGGTCACTGATCTCTTTCACGGAGTCACTAAAGACTCTGAAGACATGACTTTTCTCCACAGGTGGCTTGTGGAGGACATGAGGCAGAAGTTAGAACACAAGACATCAGAGATGAGGAAAAACACAGGACTGACCTGCTGTTCTGGAGTCTTACTTCACCTGCAAACTTAGGGACACAACCGACCACAATACTCCTTCTGAGGTCACTGACCTCCTTCACAGAGTCACTAAAGACTCTGAAGACATGACTTTTCTCCACAGGTGGCTTGTGGAGGACATGAGGCAGAAGTTAGAACACAAGACATCAGAGATGAGGAAAACCACAGGACTGACCTGCTGTTCTGGAGTCTGTAGTTACTTCACCTGCAAACTTATGCCATAAGTTATGGACACAACCCACCACAATACTCCTTCAAAGGTCACTGACCTCTTTGACGGAGTCACTAAAGACTCTGAAGACCTGACTTTTCTCCACAGGTGGTTCATGGAGGGACACGAGGCAGAAGTTCGAACAGGAGACATCAGAGAAGAGGAAAAACACAGGACTGACCTGCTGTTCTGGAGTCTTACTTCACCTGCAAACTTAGGGACACAACCGACCACAATACTCCTTCTGAGGTCACTGACCTCCTTCACAGAGTCACTAAAGACTCTGAAGACATGACTTTTCTCCACAGGTGGCTTGTGGAGGACATGAGGCAGAAGTTAGAACACAAGACATCAGAGATGAGGAAAAACACAGGACTGACCTGCTATTCAGGAGTCTGTAGATACTTCACCTGCAAACTTAGGCCGACTTTAGACTGACGACGGTTAAATAGTCGTACGGATGTTTATCGTCAAGATGTTGCCGGCGACAGTATTTTACCACCGTCTAAAGACTATCAAAATATTCCCACGACGGTAATCCTCGAATTGTCGTCACTACCACCTCGGACCTTCTCCACAGGTGGCTCATGGATAGTGGGAGGTAGAAGTTAGAACACGAGACGTCAGAGAAGAGGAATACCGCTGGCTTGACCTTCTGTCCATGAGTCTGTAGTTACTTCCCTAGCCTGGGGGTCTGGAGGGGTTTAACAACTTCTCACAATGGACCCATGAGGACATGACAGATCACTTCATTACACACCACTCCACACCACCAGCCTTGTTAAGGTCCGGGGAAAGTTGCCTGTTTGTCACAACAAGTTAGGACACTACCCATGTGACACTTCACACATTGTAACTTCTTTCAAGGCTCAAAATCCTTTTGTTTTTTTCTACATACCTGCACTGGTGCATGTAACACTGAAAATACCTGCACCACTTAAAATCTAGGAAGTATGGATCACACTAAAAACTGTTCAGAAACCATTGCCATTATTTCTTTTATACTTCATAGGTGGAAACTGTCAATGCAGCCAATGAAAATCTGTATATCACCATTTAAAGTACATATAATTGTACCAAACAATGTGTATGAAAGCAAAAGTACATCTTATGGGTTCATTCCATAAAAATCATTAAGTCAACACTTCATCTGTATCTGTATAACTGGTATAAACAATCTACTTTGTAACATACCAGCTTCGCAGGCATGCGGCATCTTGCTATAAATACACCGAACAACTTGTTATATCTTGTTATACATCTACAATTGTTTAAAGCTATCCAGTGAAGATGCCCCAACTGTACTTGGTGGCAACAACTTCCCCACTACAGCAAATTATCACACAAATCACCGAGACTGATACATGGAAAGGTCAGACTGTGAGTATTTCATAATTGGTGTAGTTCTCCCCCAAACACAAGGCCAGTGCCTCACACAGGAAGACGGGGGCAGTTGTCAGGTCTCACATGTCCTGTACAGCCTCCAGCCATCACCTTAGCACATAGACAGGCTGGGACTTCTGGCTTGACAACTCTTTTAAAGCTGCATTGTGTACCATTAGGACAATACAAAAATCTATTTTCTGGTCACTTGTTTATAAATAAGTTGAATCAACCCTACTCCATTGCAAATAAGTGTCATTGAAGAAGTGGTGCCTTATGATTTTGTTTAAAAGCTAGAAACACAGCTGTCAGCCATGTTTGTTTACATTCTCGTAGTTTGTGGTGGCACCACAAACTGAGTGCGCCTCGTGTGGGCTGTTTTAGTGTAACCATACATGTCAGAAGTGTGAGAAAACTGTAAAAAATATGTTGAAAAGTGGAAGTAAATTACAAAAAAATATTTCAATTTTCGTTGCAAAAAAAAAAAAATGTTACACTTACATAATATCAATTCAGTTTTTAGCTGTTTAGTAGCTAGCACACAAAAACTGGGTATTAAAACTGGAAAAACCTAATACAAGCATAGCCCAAAGTAACAAATGGCCACCTACAGAACCAAGGCAAAAGCAAAAGAAAGAAACAAACGTTTTAAGTTTGACTCCACTCTGAATATCTTGCTTGGTGTCTCCTTCAACTCTATAATAAACTGCAAAGTTCTGGGTACTAAAACATAACGTTGAAAAACCTATGTAGCAAGAACACCCAATGGCCACCTACAGATCCAAAAGCCAAACAAAGAAACAAGTTTTGAAGTTTCATTCCACTCTGAACCCTTCTAGAACATGGAAGACATGATAGTACAGACACTAAGTCAGCATATCAAGCGTTATGAAATACAGGTTGAAACTGCCGGCATATTCCTTACCTCAGGTTGGAGACAGTTAAAGCAGTTGAGGCTGTACTTGCTGGCATCTGTGGTGAGAACCATCTTTCCAACAGTCATACAGACAGAAAAGTCCGGCTCATACACCACAACCTGACTCTACAATGCAGATGTGCTACAGCAGTTGTCCTCAAGACATATACAAGCTTGTCTATTATTCCACAATACGATAGCACGCAAGACTAGCTTGTAGGTAGAAAAGTTCTTAGCTTCTAGGAGAACCAGAAGTTCAAAGACGATTCAGTCTAGTGAGCGGGTGGCCCAGGCAGCTAGACAGCATAGCAGCCCACATACAGTCTGAACAGGGACAGGACAGCACAGGTGGGAGGACAGACTGCCACCAGTTGTTATAGGCATATGACTCAACACATAGTCATCTGTCAGCATGTGTCCCATGTTTGGGTGGAGCAAACCATATGGCTGATACTACGGGGGTGCTGCAAGCATACCTTCCAAATCAATTTTATCTCAAACATCAAAAATGTAACTTCGACATTTTTACGGTTGTAAATATAATCAGTTATACTGCATACTGTAAGTTAATATTTTATCTCATACACCTAATGATGATGTAACGATAACTAATGGTGCTGCACACCCCTGAAGTTAGAAATGGTACAGCCCGGGGTGCCAGGGGACACCAGAGATCAATGACCCAGGATGAGGTCATCGCAGAAGTGGAGACAATCATGTAAATGTGAGTCCATCAGTGGTGGTTATCAGACATAATAATCACCTCCAACTCCCAAGGTTATCTGTGGACATGGGCTCCCCTGGTGTACCAGACACCTCAACACAAGTCTTCAACTCTGATAGATTCACATTCAAACTTTTCTTACTGTTTAAACTTAAAGTCTTTAGAAAAGATACCTTACCTTAAAGTTTCTGCAGACATTTCAGTTGCTATAAACATTACTATTATTGTATAACTGTAATATTGTCTACAGTTTATATACATAGCGTACACCAATATAGACCTTCATACTAGCTTCAGAATAGAGACAGTGAAACTAAATCTTTCAAAATAGAGACAGCAAAACAAAATATCTTCTGAATGAGGAACTCTGTCTGATATAGACATTAACTGCCATTTCTTGGCACATTCTTGTCATCATTTCATACTTGATGCTTTGAAAATACCAGAAACAAGGTATGAGAGGAGTCACTTTACTTTTTGGTACCACACTATCACCAATAGCTAGAACCAGCCTACAATATGAAACAAGCTATAGTAACTGCTTTTCATCAGTGACATCACATTTTTGCCTGAAAGATTATTAGCATGCTATAGGAGAGGGATCATAGGGTTGAAAAATGACCACACAAAAACTAAGTTTGATATCAACTAGGGTTATTATCTTTGAGTTATTATCTACAATCTATAAGCCTGTAACTTTCAATCAACTTTTCCATGAATAAATAAACAGTACACAATTCTTTTGTGTACTCCTGTGGCATCAGTCAGCTAAGGTGAGCCCTGTGATGTAACAATAGATTTCCCTTCAGTGTTCCAATCCTCCCGGAAAATCCTGAGATCAGTACTTATCACCAGGACACACAGGTGGAAGGTGTAGTGTTGAGGGTCTATATGGGGGGATCCTGTGTTAAGGGTCTGTATGGGGGGATCCTGTGTTTAAGGGTCTGTATGGGAGGGTCCTGTGTTAAGGGTCTGCTTGGGGGAATCCTGTGTTAAGGGTCTGTATGGGGGGATCCTGTGTTAAAGTTTGCATGGGGGATCCTGTGTTAAGCGTCTGCTTGGGGGGATCCTGTGTTAAGGGTCAGTATGGGGGGATCCTGCTAATGCTTCATTGTATGTTTTAAGTAGTCGGCAACACTTAATGGTAAACTCAGGAAGGCTAGCAATGCTTAATGGGGTAAATATATGGGGGGCAGTCTGACAAAAATGGACATGCTCACGGTGGCGTGGTGCAGAAAAAAGTAGGCAAATCATTTGTTTGTGGAAATTATGAAATCATGGTGAATTGCCTGTGAAAAAAAATGCAAAATACAAAAGAAATGCAAATATTAAGTGATTTACAGTACCTCCTCACAGAAAAATGCATACAGACCCTCCAGCCTTGGAAGAGGAGCAATATTATCTTATCTCCATCAGCGAGCCAGAGATCTCTTTTAAACAGCCCAGGGTAAATCCATTGTAACTGAATCTCTTCATGTATTGTCATGGAAATGGCCAGTGCAGGCCAATTATCCAAACAAGGGGATAGAGATTACATCGTTTTGGTGTCATCTGTATAAATGTTACGACACCTGCTTATCTCACCTGGACAGGTGAGACAAATGAACAAGGTCATCAGAGGACACACCTGACAGGATGTAAACATAAACAAAACTCTTCATGTAGTAATTTTACATTCGGGAGGTCACAAATTATGACTAGATCATATTTGTAATACCTTAGATAGGGGTGGCGCACGCCCGGAAAATTTGTCTCCGGGACGTCATAAACAGTGAAAATGCATCAACTTTGGGGGCTTAAATCCTGTATATATCGTATAGAAACGCATCTAATTTTGGTATCAGTAGTTGGAGAATGTTGTGATCTATCTTTCTGTAAAAGATTTATTAAAATACCTTCAATTACAAGCGAGAAATATCCCATCGGGTACCGCGTAATTTCCGCGCGGCAGCCCAGGCCGCCATACCCCGCACGCGAAATGTAAACAACTCGGCGTCGGGAAAGCACATTTTCGGGGGCCGTGTGCAAACGCCCACGGTAAAGCTAGCTATCAATTTGTAGACAAGAATACGAGCTTCAAAATGATACCTCTCACCCGCGTGTATGATTTCCCTATCGAAAATTATCCCGATTTAAAATCTTTAAACCGCAATTTCTCGATTACGTACCCCCTAAAAAAATTTTAGTGGGATTTATTTTCGAAAAATTGAGAAGTTTGCCGTCATTTTGGTACCAAATTCGCATAGATTTGAGCACGTGGTGAGCCCGAAATAGGGGGCTACTTTTCCTACCGCCGCGACCAGTTTGGGGAAGAAGCCAAGATGGCGGACGCCACTGACGCCGAGGCGAAGCGTCGTGCCGGAGCCGCAAACCAGCCGGCATCCGACGACGATACGGTCACCACAGCCCACCAAAATACTGGTAAGTTATTTTTGTAGCTTTTACATGATTTTTGGCCGGATTAAATGTATTTTTATGCGGAATTTTTCCTTGTAAATACGAGATATACTAGGACATTGTTGTTTTTACCTTTGTCGAAATGACGCCCGAGTAGATTCAACTTTCAAGTGATATTTATCGGCATATACCCCGACTTTTTACTTTCATATTGTGATAGAATAAATCTAGATAAGTTATTTAAAGAAATGTTTTGGGGGAAAATTATTTGAACGCGTTTTTAATTAACTTATTCAGAACGTAAATTGGTCAGTCGATGCGGAAGTGATTTTCAATTAAACTCTAGCATGTGGGGAGGGGGGCGGCAGTGATAAGTCTAGATGTCGTTGGAATTTGTTTACGAAATCGTCCTTAATTTTCGTCATTAACTCATCTACTCCGCCACAACTTTTCTTAAAGCTACTAATGAGTATTTATTTGTGCAAAAAAATTATTTCTGTAACTTGTGTAAATGTAACATTACTAACAAATTGAAATTCCTTTATTAAGTTAAATCCTTAACTTTTTTTATTGTTGTGCAGTGTGTAGGGTGTACCATCTTGCATGTTATTATAAATATTTTATTAATGTACTTTTTTTTCTGCAGTAAACAAGGTTGGAGAGGAGTGTGCAAGAGTGGGAATCACTCCATCTGTTTTGGAGAATGGATGGAACAGTCCTGGAGACAGAGTACCACTGACAAAAATGATGGTGGTGGAGATCGAGGTGTACCGCCAAAATCAGCGGAGGCCCTTTCCTGAAGGAAAGCAGTGGTTGGAGCGACTGCTTGAGCCAGGCAGTTTTGACAGTGTAGATAACAAGGTTTTACAGTCATCTCTGAAAGCCTTAAAGGACAAGAAGACTTTGGCAAACAAGAAACAAAAAGAAACAGAGTTGTGCTGAAACGCTACGAAAACTAAGAGAGGAACTCTATGCACCACCCGCTTCACGTCAAGAAAGGCCACAAGCTTCAAGCTCAGTGTTAGCTGTACAAGCAGCAAAACTCAAGAAACAAATGAACATCTGAAAGAGACTGTAAAGGAAAATGCAAAAACAATAAAGAAGTTGGTTGTCAGGGAAGGTGAGCTAGAGGCGAAAGTGTCAGAACATGAGAAGAAGAGTGAAGAAGATGCGAAAGAGATGAGGAGAAAGGAGAAGAACTTGAAACAAAGAGAAGAGAAGCTTAGGCTTGAGGAGAAGGAGAAAAAGAAAGCAAGGAACTTGTCCAGGAAGCTTACCCGTCGTGACACAGAGATCAAGAAGTTGAAGGAAGAGCTATCTGGACTGGGAGAAAATGCAGTTCAGCTAGGAGAAAGATTGTCAAAGGAAACTTTGAAGAAGGAGAAGTTGAGAAAACAAGTTGCGTATCACAGAACCAGAAAATCAGTGCAACAAGAAAGTATTTCTGCGATGAAGAAGGATATGCAGGACCTAAAGAAAGCAAACGCACAGTTGGAAAGCCAGCTACAGCATGCTGAACTGGAACTGGAACTTGCCCTAAGTAACAGACACCAGATAGCGTTGCGTGAAGGATCTCACCCCTCAAGCGCCTACACCAACCGTGTTCGTCACTGCATTATGAAACTGTACTCTCACGAAGTCAGTTCCCACAACGTTAGCCAGGTTATCCATGATGTGCTGACGACACTGTGCCAGTATGATGTCTCTATAGATGACCTGCCAGGGGAAACATTTTGCCAGCAGATAAGACAAGAGTCAGGTGTTGTGTCCCGATGTCAGGTCGTACAAGAAATGGAAGATTGTGCCGACGCAACATTGCACAGTGATGCCACCTCCCACGATCAAGTCAAGTATACGGGGTATCAGCTGACAACTGGACAAGGACAACACCGGACAGCTGGCATCATCAAAATGTCATCTGGTCAGTCCTCAGAGCAGCTTGAAGGCCTGAACTTCGTTCTGCGGAAACTTGCCATGCTGTCCAAAAGTGCTGATGACTGTACACAACATTCAAAGAAGCTGCTGTCAAAGATCAAAAACACAATGGGGGACGGTGCGGCAAGTCAGAAGCGTTTCAATGAGCTGTTGGAAGCATACAGAGAAGAGATCCTGCCCGATGTTGTAGAGAATTGGGAGGAGCTTGATGCAGAAGTCAAGGAGAGCATGTGCACCATGAACCACATGTATTGCCAGCTGCACGCGCTTGTCGGGTTCGCTACTTACGCGGATGAAGCTCTCCAGTCCCTTGAAAACATCTGGCGGGAGACGTCTGGAAAGCTTGGGGTAGAGAAGCTGAGAGAGTTCCAAAACAAGGACGGGGAGTACATCTGGGGGAAGGGAGACAGTGCTACACAACGCCTTATTAGAACTGTCTGCAACAGCATGGCACCTCGTGGCAACCAGCAGGCAGGCTGCATGGGGGAATTCAGCACGTATCTCAGCCTGAAGGGATCCAAGCGCACATCTCTGTTAAAGCCCTTCAAGGGAAACCGATTTAACATATTGTTTGAGTGTGCGGCTGGCGTGTACCACCACAGAAAGGACATTCAAAACATGTTTGGTGAGGGCCACCACAAAGCTGGCAACAGGCTGTTACGGGCAGTCCTTGCAGACATCTCATCCCCCCACTTCAGGCCAGTTGTAGGGCTCTTGGTATCCTATACAGCCATGTGACTGAGCCATACTGGCGACTGACGATGGACTCAAGGGTCCACATACTGGATTTGTCCAAGCAACTACAACATGCCCTGAAGAAGTTCCAGGAATGGAGTAGTGATGCCACTCCCCTGCTCAGTGCTGAGTGTCCACCTCTCTTCACCATCGGAGATGCTCCAGTCGAACCAGACAGAGCCACAGCTGAGTTCCATTCCCTGTACGAAGACACCGGCGATCCGCCGTCAGATGCCATGACGAAACAGGCTTTGGAGCTGACCCTGGCAAACATGATTGTGGTGTTCGAGAGACGGTTCCACCAGCAGCTGCACGGCAAATATCAAGATGGGGGGAACCAACAAGAGAGGGAGGAGATGAAGAATACATTGAAAACAAACATAAGAGGAGAACATGACATTGGTTACCTGTCACACTTACAAACATCCAAGCCATCCATCAGCATGATGGCCCTAGAAGGGCAAACAATGTTCAAAATGAACAAAACAGGCGAATGGCTGGATGAGCTGTCGACGACCGACCCTGACAAGTATGCTGCCATCCTCACAACGGCCAGGAAACAAAGGAGAGCTTTCCAGAAGATATACGATGAGCGACATGAAACAATCGACGAGACCAAGAAAGAAGCAATGAGACAGCGGGCTGCAGAGGCAAAGAAACAAGAGATGAAGAAACAACAACAAGCCACTGAACGGATGGAACGGCTTCAGGCCTATGGTGGACCAGTGGATGATTCAGACTCTCTCGATACATTCCTGCAGAAATTGTCAGAGAAAGTAAAAGGCAGAACCCTACAGCTGCAAGTGATCAAAGACCAACTCAACTATTTGAAAGCCCAGAAGAAAAGAGCCTGCCCTAATGACCTGTACAAATTCTCATCTGCGAGAAAACACTTACCCTGGAACAGCTCAAAGCCAACTTGCGTCAAATCCTGACCTACCCTGCCGTTAGCAACACCCCTGGTAGTGGTACTGAAGAAAATGAAGAGACACGTGCAGAGAGCCCGTTGCCAGGAGCAGACAAAGATGCAGATGATGCTGTTGCTCATCTTAAAGCTGCCTTTGCAGTAAAGGCTGTGGAAGCGAGGCAGAAGCAGGAAGTCCGAGTGGAGCAACAGGATGTGGAGCAACAGGAAGAGGATGTGGAAGATGAAGAGAGTGAGGATGGAGATAGTAGTGAGGATGGAGATAGCAGTAGTGAGGATGAGGAAAGTAGTGAGGATGACCAGAGGAGTGAGGGTGGACAAAATAGTGAGAACAGACAGAGTCGTGAGAAAATCAGCGACAAACCAAGAAGTGAGGACAGACAGAGTCGTGAGAAGATCAGCGACAAACCAAGAAGTGAGGACAGACAGAGTCGTGAGAAGATCAGCGACAAACCAAGAAGTGAGGACAGAGGGAGAAGCAAAGAGCAAAGTGAAAGTAGTGATGAAGAATCAGAAGAATCAGAACCACCAGCGAAAAGGCAGAGACTTGATCAAGTTGATGTCAGTTTTATTGTAAATAATTTTGTGGCCGTTGCATATGAAGATTCGTGGTACGTAGGTCGAGTGGAGGAGGTACTTGACTCAGGTCAGTTAGCTAAAGTCCTGTTCCTGACAAGGTCAAAACCAAAGTCTAGTGTTAGCAGTGGTGCAAAATTCTTCTTCCCAGCAACAGAGAAAACAGAAGACGTTGATTTAACTTTCGTGTTAGATTCCACGGTAGAAGTAGTGCCAGACATAAGGAGCAACGGACGGCTTTTCCAGTTGTGGGGATCCAACTCATCTGACTCTGAGGACATTGAGAGAGACATTGAGAAGAAGTACAATGTCTATTACAATAAGTACTTTGCTACTCTACTGCCAAGAAGCAGAGCCAGGAATCAGAAGACCTGCAGGGGAAAAAAGGGAAGAAATAAAGTTAGTCATGACTGTATTTGCACTAGTGGTCACATGAGAAATTTACAATGTCATAACCAATGTAGTGTCCAGCAAATTAGTCCATATTTGATGAATCAGAGAATATTTTCGAGGCCAGAAATGGATTCAGCATGTGGCAAAACCCCTGTATACCTAATTTTTGTCTTGTACTTACAATTGTATGGAAGATATCTCATTTACGCATATTTAATTAACGGATTCTAGTTTTATTACCCCAGGTAATCAATTTATCAACATTTCTGAAGGACATGTGTAAATTTCGAGGCCATATTTGGGTTCAGCATGTTTTGAAACCCCTGTATACTATGTTTTTTTCTTCTAACTTCTAAAATTAGTGAGATACAGTAATCTTGCATATTTAATTAGCCGACTTAGTTTCTGACCGCTGATTTGACCTTTGCCCATGACTAATTTTCATCATTTTCTGGAAATTTTTAAGTCAATGTAGCTCCTGAAATGATAAAGAAGAGTCTATGATTTTAATGTATATGTTAAAGTGGTGCTAATAAGAGAAGAAAATGTGCTTATGTTGCTTCTGACATGTTTCGTAATTACAATAATGACACATGGAAAATTGTCGCTTTTCATTATTTTAACGAAGTTCGGAGAAATTAGGTCAAATTTTCTAGCTTTCAAATGGCCATAACTCAATAACCGTATGTTCAATGTTGTTCAAATAAAAAGCAATGTGTTTCTCTTGTAAAGACCTGTCCAATGACATCTGGCTCATTAGGCTAGAATGAATATGAAATTTTGGTGTGGTACCCCTACCTTAGACATGCTGCATTCTATACTGATCATGTTATTGGAAAGTGTATGACAGTTGAGCACACACCACTACCAGTCGACTAGGGACCCTACTGTTGTGCCTGCAGAAATGTGTGGCCCAAGAGAGATGGGCACTGCCTTATTTACCGGAAATCGAGAGAAGAATTTTAACTTTTGACATACGAATTCCAAAATAAGCCAACAGGGAGCAAAAATGTAATTTTTTGTTAGGTATCATCAAGACCTACTACTGAAACATAACCTTCTTAGGCCAATTAATTTCTTGGTTAACAGATTTTTCTAAAAAATAATGGACCGGGCAGGCGAAACAAATAAAAACAAAACCAGGCCTAGGCATCCTATTATGGCCCAAAATGGTACAATAGGAGCCATAAAGTCAACACACCAGGCTGGTTCAAAATTTAAACAATGAATTTCGAACTTTTAATGATACCATTGCATTGAAAGATGGAATAACTGTAACAACTAGGATGAAAAGGACCGTTTTCAGCTGTTCCGGGCAAAATATGAGCATTTTGCAGTTGATTCTGAATTTTTATTTTTATTTGCAAATCAGAAAAAAATGAAGCGGGCGAATCCTTTAACCAAGAAATTTAATTGGTGTGGCCTAAGCGAGGGTAATAAGCTGACATGTAAGGTAATCTGTTCAACTTCAAGTTGGACCATCTGTTAACCATGTTGGTTCACATGTGGGGTCTAATCAGTACAGCCTGACCTTGACAATTCCTGACAACTGGGAAAAGACAGGAAAGCAGCCCCCAGGAAAGAAAACACTATCTTTTCTTAAAGCCACAAAATCTTGGCGCTAAAAAAGGGCCACCAACGAGCTACAAAAAAGTCTACATTTCTAAAAAGACATTCGTAAAGCTTTTTTTGACAATTCCAATACTGGTCATACTTATTAACATAAAGGCTAATAGCTGTAATTTTTGACCAGGTATGTCTATTATACTGAGTCATACATAGCTATCATATGCTGTTATGTCTGACTTTTTCAACAACCTTTTACAATATGTTCCCCATATTTTAAATGTGGGTAAAAGCCATTGACTGCAAATGTTACACATAAAAGGAACATTTTGTATTAAAAATGTTTCATTTTTTTTTTGGCAAAATTTTGTTTAACTTTAACCCCTTCAAAGCCAAGAGTGCTTGACTTTGCTGTTCAATAGATAAACCAGATAAGATCACAGCTGACTCCGGCACAAACGGTGGAAAACTTCCTCATTTCAAAATGCTTGGAATATGAATGTCATGGTTATCAAAGACTAGGATTAGTGTATAGCACATCCAATCATGTACAAGTGGTGTAGCCGAATTAATTTAGCAAAAAACCACAATCATTCAATTCACAAAACAAGAAAGCAGAGATTTCAGACTTTTGGAAATCAAGACCAGAGCATGTCCAGAACAAAAGATTTTAATAAAATGTTCTCCTGCAGTGCCAAGGTCAGCCACAAGGAGATCAACATTTGACCTTGATCTTTGTCTTCCTAAGACCTACCCACATACCAAATATCATTCCAAATATCATCACAATACTGGCCTTCTGAAGTAATGTTGACCACAGACGCACACACCAACAGACCAAAAACAATACCTCCATTTTCCACGAAGGTAATGATGCAAATATTTCCATCTTGTGTTTCAAAAGGTACATGTAGTAGATACACATGTATTATGTCATACCTGGGCCGCGATCACATTCTATACGGGTGTTCCGGCCCGTGTGATAACTAGCGGTACAGCCCGGGGGTTCTTAACGCGTACGGCCCGGGGCTTCCAAATTATGTTCCATATAACGATTCGAACGCGTTTCGCCCTAAACGCGTGCACCGCTTTCGAAAATTCGAATACAAAATTCGGATGCTGGAATTGATGTTGTTGCATTAGTGGGGATTCCGCCATCGGGCGATCCGACCCGCGGTCAGGCTGGTACCTCGGGCGATACGGAATACCCCGTGTTGTATTCTCTATGTATTCTCTACAATCTTCGGACAACGAAGCCAAGCCAAGATTCTCTATGTATCATTCAGGTCACCTCCTGCTTTCAGTCACAACAGGAAATACGTACTAGATAGTGACAAACCAGAACCTGTAACAGTCACTGACACAACTATATACAAGCTGTGAGTCAGCAACTAACACAGGGTCTTTCCAAGAACAACCACACTCTGACAGGTGCAAAACAAACCCAACATCAACAATCCTGATTCATCCACACCCTGTCAGGGTGAAGACAGAAGGATAATGAGTTAGAGATAACCTTTAACCTGTTCCACATGTATCATAACACCAACACTTCACAGGAAATGTCTACAGTACAATTTTCAAACTAGAAATAGCTGCTAAGGGACCCAAACTCCAGTCACTTCTTCCCTGGCCCAAGAGCTATCTACCATCCAAATTTCGCGACCCTAGCAAGTCCAGATCACGAGATATCAAAACCGGAAGTTCAGCTGCAGTACCATAACAAGTTGCCAGGGGGGCCAACATCTACTCATTTTGAGGTCCCATGAAGACCTACCCACCTACCAGATATCAAGATAATCTATCTTAGTCTTCTTGAGTTATAGTGTTGACACACACAGATACACACAAAGTCACACACAAGCTCCAATGAAAACATAACCTTCTTGGCGAAGGTAATAACTTCCATCTACACTTATGCAAATCGTGATTAAAAGTCCCTCCCCCCGGCGTTCCATCTGAGAGGATGTCCCCAACTGAAACTAGGTACTTATTTTCATCTGAGTGGAGTGAGGAAATAGGTTGAATGATATACCACTGACAATATTTCTGAAGTAACACAGCACAAGTACATTGTAATATCATACAGTCAACCTTCCTAGAGACTGACATTTGCATATTATTGTTAGGTATTAGTAAGTCGCTAAATCAAGCAGATGACTAACGTTACAATAGACTTTCGGTTCCTTACAACAAGGAAGAGAACAACAGGAAGTGACTTCAGGCAATGTCATACTTACCATTTATAAAATGATAAAGGCACTGTCTTGAAGAATTTTACACTTCAAATATTTTGAATCTACAAATCTCATTCAGATTGACACTCAAGACTAGTTTTGAACATAGTCGCAGATCGTTTTCTTTTTTACAAATTTTCCAACATTTGTAAATGATACAAAAGAAAGCTGAGAAAATTCCCCTATTTTTCTATTGTATAAATATACAAAATACAGTTGTAAATTGGTTTGAATCTGAACACAAATCTGTTTGAGGACATGACTAAAATAATAATGACACATGAAACAAACCATTTGTGGTCAAGGTGAGATACCATTGCTGTATTATTTCCAACAGAAATGCTATAAAAAAAATCCTTTAAAAAAACATTTCTCTATTTAACATAGATTTGGTCCAGTGTTTTATAGAGGATGGCATATGTACCATAACATAACAGGCAACAAAGGGAAACTGACATCATATAAATTAACTAGGCCCTGAAGGCACATTATTCTGGATCATAAACAGTTACTGTTAACATTTGGTCAATTATGCAAATTTAATTTTCAGTGAATTTCAAATTTCAGACAATAACCATTCTTTATGCAAACTTCAAGCCGAAAATATAGAATAAGATCTCTCCAAGTCATAAAACTTTCTTTTTAAATGATAATTCAAATGTTGCAAGTAGTATAACTCAGGTGTAGCAAGCCAGACTGTACCCCTGGTCAGAATGTACCCCAGTACATTTTGGAAAGGGGGTATGTTCTATCCTGCTACACTGGCATGGAATGACCGCCTGACTGACCCAACCTTGACTTCCTGTTCAGGGGCAACCCTACACTTCTCCTCATCTCTTTCAAGGTCATACCCAAGGTCAAACAGATGACCCTTACACCTAGACGTCAATAGGGGTTACTGGCTGTCATAGTAAACATGGCTGCTTGAAAAAATAGACTTTCTCTGAACCATCATAGGCTTTGCGTTAAAGGCATCCAATGCAATTTCAGGGTGGCAGAACAAAAAATATTCTGGATGAGAAAATCTGCCTGGTATTGACATTACTGCCTTTTCTGTCATCATTTCAAACTTGAAGTGTTTGAAATTGCCATAAAACAAGCTATGTCAGAGGAGTCCATTTATTTTTGGGTACCACCAATAAACAGCTAGAACCAGCCAACGATGTATTATAAAACACAAAACCTTAATTTGTCACAACATCACATTTTTGCCTCACACTACACTCAGTATGCTATGGGATAGAGTTGATTCAACTTACTACAGTAACTAACACATTAATTTGATTAAAAGAATGACCAGAAAACTAACTTTCATACTTTGAAAATCCAGTTTTGCTATCCAGAAGATGCCTTCAGCTTCAAGTTATGTCATATGTGACCTTTTCATGTCAGGATGTGTTGTTTCCTGATGCAATAGTTCAGAGGTTACAATGGGTTAAATGACCTTGAAGTTGATTTTTCTAAACAACTCAATGATAAATGAAGACATACCTTCAGCTGAAGACCACAAAACATGACGACCACTTTTGGTGTATAACATTACTTTCAGTGTACAGTAAGGTGTGACCACAATCCAGCAGGCACGTGTTAGAGTGTCCTGTTGTACGCATGCCCCAAACAAGGCAGGAAACCCACAGACATTGTTCAAACAGTAATACTTCCTATATGGGTTAGGTGGGAGGCATTCCACAACCAGGTGTTTAAAGAAGTGTTCTAACTAGTCTGAAATCTTTTCCCGTCATCTCAATTTTTGGGGGTATAGGGGCATGCAACCCCCAGGAAATTTTGAAATCTTAACCCTCTGAAATCCCATTTTATGCATTTTGAGGGACAAATTTTGCTGGTAAACTGAGCTTAAAATTTAAATGACATCTCTTTCCATTATCTTTATTTCACATGTCAATTTTTGTCCAGATGACAGATTGGGCAAATTTCTTGTCTGTCATGAGCAACAAAATTTTCTGTAATGCCAGGTGCTGGCAAATGAA